ATTTAAATTTTATGTAAAATTACACATTGCACCATTGGTTATTTTGACGTCACAATAGGTAAAAAATTACATTATATAAGCAAAATTACACTAAGCAAGTAATTTTACACTTCTTGTGTAGTTCTCTCATAATGTAAATTTACATTATCGGTATTTACGACACGTAAAATGTAATTTTACTAAGAAATATAAAAACTACATAGTATTGTTAATAAGAAAAGGTTACGACGTATATAAGTGAAGGGAAAATAATATTAAATTAAATTAGAAAGATTTATTAATTCAGTGAATGACACATATTCTCTAGAGTAAAATATAAATTTCTTAATTATATCTAAAGACAAACCAATAATTAATTAAATAGTTTTCTTAAAATAATAATGCAACGAAAAACTTTAAATTAAGGAAGTCAGTAAAAATAAAAAAAAATATATAAAAGAGTCTCTGTAAAAAACCTCCCTATTCATTTAAAGGACATATATTTAATTTTTCACACCCTTTTTTAGTGACGTATTTTATCCTTCAATGTGTAAATTTAAAAATGAGCTACCAAATACGATTTCATACTTTCGAAAACCGTATAAAGCTTGAATTAATACTGACTGACTTCTTTAACTATGACGATTAATTAATCAAATAAGCAATGTATTTATCTAAGACAAATGAGATACATTTTCTTAGATAATAAAATATAAGGAAAAACATTCATGTATTTTCTGGGAAAAGTTTTATTGCGGTTTTCATTTATATGAAGATTTTTTTTTTGATGAATATTTTGTCCTTTTACTCTCGCGTCCAGGTGAATTTCAAGGTGGAATCTTTGGAACTGAAAATAAAATATAGTGCAAGTAAAGCAATAAGTAAAGTATCTCTTAAATAGTAAGCTGCTATCTGGATGTCTGTGTGTAAAGATTAGACAAAAAATTCAATATGGTTATTATTGATGTTTCTCGTATTTTTTTACTTTTTCATGAAGGTATATCGAGAGGTGTATATAACTGACACAAAATCATATTTATTACGTCAGTATTTATTGTGCTATATTATTATGCCACAAATTAATCTAAACATGCCTACTGAACAATTAGTACTGTTCTCTACATACACACGATAACTGTGTGATTACGTGATTAATATGATTGGTTGAGCCAAATCAGTTTATGTAAATTCACACTTTTATTCGCAAAGGACCCCGCAGGTTCCTTATGGAAAATGGCTTTCAGCCGATAGTTTTGAAACTTTGGATTTGAATAGTTCTCGAAACGTAGATTAAAAGTTATCATAGGCACTAAGCTGAGAAAATTATATTTTCCGAGATATAGTCGATGAAAGCTAGGAGTTATAGCAAAGCGAGGTATAAATTAAAGAAGACTCTTGACTTGTAAGGTGAAATGAAAAGAAGCCGTGCAATCTGTCCCAAACACATGTTCCTTACGTTATCGGGGTCACCCAATCCGAATCTGCTGTGCGGATGAGTTTCAAGGTCACATCAAGATCAAATGAAGGTCATTGTAAGATCATTATAAATGTAATATGTTCCAAATATATGTAATTATATTATAATCTTAAGTAATATTTTATTACAGCTTCAGGATATTTTTTATTATATTGTATTGCGCATTTGCAAAGTATACAGTGAGAAGTCTTAAGAGGATAACAGGTTGTAAGATGTTCCACGGCCAACCTGGTTCTGGAGTTTACTAATTAATTGGGTAGGTTAAAAAATCGATAAGTAAAAACTTTTTTATTTAACTGAAGTACATTCTTTCTTAATGTTGTACTACACACCTATCAAACATTGTTGATGAATACATATGTTTTTGACTTTACTATACATCGTAACGAATACATATTGAATCATTTTCAAATAAGAAATAATCTTGTCTGAAATAAAAGGTATAACATAAATTATAATTAAGTAATTAAATTATTAAATAATTATTTGCATTCATTGTAGTATTTAATAGCCAATCATCTGGGTACTTCACATGTGGTTGATGACGGGCATAGCCTAGTAGGTTCCTACTACTCTCGCCCCTGAGTAACACGTGCAATAATATGCTAGGATTGGACCAATGTCTTGATCACCACCATAATTATCTAAGTCTTCATCCACGTTGACATAACTAATGAATATTTGACGTCTTGCAGCATTTCGGAATCTTGAGAAAATTCGTGCTCTTAGAAGTCCTGGTTCATCTATATTTTCATCCAATTGAAATTCATCACCATTTTCTCTAAGCGCCTTCTGTATACTGTATACCCTGTATAGCATCTGTATACCCGAATGGATGGCTGATTCAGATTCAGCAACCCCGAAGTCTTCTTCAATTTATACCACGCAGTACTATAACTCCTATCTTTAGGCGATTATATTTCGAAAAATATAATTTTCTCAGCTTAGTGTCTATGACAACTTTTTATCTAAGCTTCGAGAACTATTCAAATCCAAATTTTCAGAACTATCGGCTGGAAGCCATTTTCCATAAGGAACCTGCGGGGTTAAATACAAAAAAAACACATAAAAGATTAGAAATAATACATTTTAAAATATACAAGTACAATGTGAAAGACAAGAATACACCGCCAATACAATACCGATATAAACTATATGTAAAAAACCTATGTGAATTTCTACAATTTTTTTAAGTGTATGGACGCCATTATTAAGAAAACTCTTTATTTTATCTTTGTGCAGATTTATCAGATTGTTTGTATATTTGTAGTATTTTATCCAAACTTGAAAAAAAAATGATATGAGACCGTTTACTAATTTTTTTAATAATTACTTTTAAAGGTATTCTCCAAACAGTGGTTCCCAAAGTATGTGAAGGGTCGCTATAGTTTTTGCGAAATATATTAACTTACATTTATTTTACGTGTTTAAGAAAAAACTCGTTTCTCGGAAATCAGTTTTTTTAAATATACGTGTTCTGACAATTATAGTAATTTTCAATTCCAGATTATTTCTTGGTTTCATTTTGGTGACAGACGTTAGCGACCAAATAATTTCACATAAATATAAGGTTGCAAAATTTAAACGCATCATATGACAACTTAGGACATTCCTGCTTTCTTTCAAATCAAAATTGATTTAAACTGTGAGAAAATTCTTATTTTACCCTTTCAGCAAATGTCCAAACAATTAATTTAATTGGAATTTATGCGAATTGGATACCTTGGATTTCCTAATACTATATTATTAAAGTCATCAGTCACAAGCAAATATCTGATATATGAGGGGAAAAGTTTGGGAACCACTGTTATAAAATATTTACGACGTATTTACTCATGTTTTATTTACAACTGCTATAATATTTTGAAATGAGCAACTATGAAAAACTGTTTTAATTCAAGTTTGAGTGAAAATTAATGAGAACTAGAAAGAGAACAAAAATAAAAGAAAGTAGAAAAAATAAATGTTCATCTTTCTCGCTAACGTCGCTAAATGTCTTAGAATATATATTTTCTACAGTAATATACATATAACTATGTACAGTGGTAGCGAGGCATAGTATATCTAGTAAGAAACACAAATAAATCGTCTTAAAACCTCGCGCAAGGTAAACAGAAAAGTTGTTCATAAAAAACTTTTCAAATTAAAATTACCATGAAAGTAAGCTTTTAAACACAACTCCCGCAAGATTAAAATCGCCTTAAAAATCCTGCACTTTTTAAGTTACTTTCTCTTAGTTCCCTCATGCATGGTTAAAAAGGAGGGAGGGAATATCTGCCCGCTTCCTTCCATGTACCTTTAAACCCTGAGGGTCAGTCGCTATAAAATGTTATTGTTTTATAATTTTTAAGTTCCCTGCAGCTGTGTGCTCCTGTATCGATCGATTGCAGGAATTTTATGTTAAAATTTTACTCAATCTACCCTTGATTCCTGAAGTATTATTTACTTTTAGTGGCGACTTGTAATAATAATATAATTATCAAAATCCATCCATTAAATCAGTGACATAAAAATTCTAAATTTCTAAAGATGTATTTTCTTGCTATTCACTGGTACAATGATAAAAGAAGTAAGTTTTAAAGGACCCGCATTGTTTTTATGAAAATGTGGGCTCGGTCGACTTGGCTGAATTGGCATAGAGATCTTGTCTAGTCTGCCTATGTCATAGCGATCTTGCCTTAACACTGGCTTATAGCGATGTTGCCTTGACTGGCTGGGCCATAACTATCTTGACAACTTAATAGGGCTGCAAACAGGATTCTCCTATTTCGTAATTTGATTTGACCTTCAAAGAATCTTCAAGCTTGACCTCTAGGTCATGATCAATGTTATCATCGTATGATCCCATCAAACCATAACATTTTCACCCAGAATCCTTCGTCGCCAGTGCTTATCCAGAAAATATCTCAAAATTTTATTCCAAACATTATTTGACTCTAAAATAACCTGTTACAGTCACTTTGGCCCATAACATATCTGAATGTAAAATTGTCTGCTCTATTCATTTTCGGCGTCAGAAATATATCTATTACATCTAAAATTCTAAATTGACCTTCAAATGACCTCAATGGTTGACCTTTGGGTCAAGGTCAACGTCACCATCGAACGTCCCCCTCAAAGTGCTTCCCTAAGAAGATATTGCCTTTATCAAAATGGGACGCCTTATCTACTGTTGCCAACGGCTAGTGCGGTCAGTTTGGGATTTGACACATGTAAAAAATGTTAATTAGCAACTTCTTGAAGTCATTCATTTTTTTCTTTAAACATTTCACAGAAGTTCTGATTGCAATATTCTACTCATACTATCTTGCAGCTATGCACCAACAGCAGAACTGACTCACAATGAGACCGTTATAAGTAGGAGAGGATTGATTTTCGGATCCAAGTACCAAGGAAATTTTGGGTCAGTAAAACAATAACTTACAACAATTTCAGCCAGTTTGACAGAGCCCACATTTTCATGAAGACAGTGCGGGGTCCTTTAATATTTATTAATATAATTCGGCTTAAATAAGTCAGTAACAGATTGCCTTTCATTTTCCAGCCATGGCGTACCCTGGGCTCTATCCCGGCTACGTGCACGCTTTGGCAGCTGCCTCTCAAGCTGCTTCTCTTGCTGGGGGCCCTCACCATCATCCTCAACATCAACCACCGAAAAGGAAGAGAAGGCATAGGACTATCTTCAGCGAAGAGCAGCTAGAACAGTTAGAAGCCACTTTCGAACAGACGCATTACCCAGATGTAGTCCTGAGGGAACAGTTAGCTTTAAAAGTGGATTTGAAGGAAGAACGTGTAGAGGTGAGTAAGCAGTGATTGCAAAAGTGAATCTTACATATATAAGTAGATTAGATAAAAATGCTATGTTTTACTTGTAAAATCTTTGATTAATCATGGTCTATCGGAAAAGGAAATATTTTATATATATTTTGTTTGAAATGAGACGTTACTGACACCTCGCGCCATTATTCCATGGCTAGAAATTGGCCTCAATGATTTGGGATCGAGGGGGATTATCCCTCTTTATCCTGCCTCATCTCGTGTAGGCCTGGACAGCCTTCGTAGGTGGGCCCCATCCGTCGTCTACCCCGACCGCAAATGCGGCTGGTGTAGGCGCTTTGTGGGACCTCCTTTTGTCCTGGCTGGGCCCCGCCGGCTAGGGCCCTTTCTTCTGGCGCTCTTCTTGCTTCGCCGGCTCGTCTGTGTAAACCCCGGGGGTAGTGTCATGTTTATGTGTGGTATGGTTGGGTAGGGTAGTGCGGCTATGCAGCCTGGGATGCGCTTTGCTAAGGTGGCCCTTAGCCCAGCGCGGTAGGGGAGGGGAAAGGAGGGTATGGGGGGTGTGTATGTGTGTGTGTGTGTGTCGTTGTCTTCGTTTCTTGATCCTGGCTGTCTCTGAAACAGAAAAGGTTAGCGGGCATACTGACACCTGTGTTGCTTGTAACAAAAATTGTACTAGTCATTTTGGAGCCTATATGGGTGTTTTGATATCACAAATTTATAGGGACCATAGTAGAACATGTCTTTTGTTTTTGAAGGTGTTAAACAAAATTTTTTAAAATAAAATTTTACCACGTTTTTCCAAAGAACAGTTTAATGTTTTCAAACTTGTTTTCAAGGATACTAAATGTGCTAGTGTTTTTAGTTTTTGGCCATCTCTCTCACACTGTTTTTGAGAAAAATGCCTTTGAGTGTCTGGAAGTCAACCAGCCTTAATATGCAGAATAATTGAAAATGAATCAGTCAGTCTTCAAGTAAAGCTTCCTTGTAAAGAAATAAAACCTATTTAGACAAAGTTACTTTGGTACCATTTTGCTTCGTTAAAACGTTATCAGCATCCAGAAACAATTTTTTTATTCGTTTTTAAGTAAATAAAAAATCAGTCTGTACTAAGGTAACTTGATCTATATGGGTTTATTTTCGTCCAAGGAGGCTACCCTTTAAAGTGTGGCCCATTCATTTCAGGGCACCCTATATACGAGTATTACGCAGTAAGTTTCTCTAGAAAAAAAATGGTGTGATTTAAGTGATTTTAACAAGAAAACGAGAATAACCTCATAAAACGTTACTGGGTATTTAGCACTCTCAAAAACATACTTGTAGTAAATTTCAATGCATTTCATTATTTTTTGGAAAATATATGGTTAAAATTTGATTTAAAAACATCGTATTTGTCGCCCTGCATCTCAAAAACGGAAGACGATAGGCTTCTTGGTCTATAGGGAAAAATCGTCTTATTTTTTTATGTTTTATCAGCCTTTGAGTTTATGGAGTTTCCCAAAACACTCTGTATAAAGTATTTGATGTTTACAGTATCTAAATTTACAAATGACGTCGGGAAGTTGTCAATTGCAACAATCCACGTAACAGGCGGGTGCAAAAACTAAAAAAATAATGTATTATTTTAAAATAATAATTTTATTAACAAAACAGCACCAACTTTAATGAAATAATACGCATTAGCAGTAAATAATTAGTTATTACAACAAAGCGAACTACAAATAATAACATAAATTAAAAAATTCCAAAGTGGCATAATATTAAATATTTTAAATTTAGAAATGAAATAAAAAATCTCAACTCAAAACTATCTAAGAAATTTTTTAATACAACACTAATTAGAATTGCAGTTACTATAAATACCTAAAGCAATAATTAGATATTTTTCTTATAAATAGGGCGCTGGTTGAACTAACGAGGTTTGTTCAGTGAATAACCAAACTTTTTCAATTACGCGATAATGGAGATATTTAGTGCAATCCGGTTGGCAGCATTATTGCGTTGCGCATAATCTTCTCTGTATAACATTTAGATAAGTTAATGACGAATTTTGAAATGTTCGATTTTCTGGAACAACTATGCAATCTAAAATTTTTTGTGAAATTGTAAAAAACTCTTACGGAAACTTTTCAACTTTTAAAACAAGCTTACGAAGATGAAGCCCCGGGTCGTACGCAATGTTATCAATGGTTTTCACTTTTTAAAAGTGGTCGTCAGTCAGTTGAAGATGATCCTCGACCTGGAGCGCTGTCGACTTCGACTGATGACTTCGACGTTCATAAAGTCAAAGATCTGGTGCGCGCAAATCGCTAATTGACTATAAGAGAAATTGCAGAAGAGGCTAGTATCTCAATTGGGTCATGCTACGAAATTTTGACTGAAAAATTGAACATGCAAAAAATAAAGTTCGGTTATTTGCTGAACAGACATTGTATTTGTATTTAGCTAAGTTTGTTTATCCCATTCCTTGTTTGTTGTTTTTGTTTTCACTTATTTTTACAAAACGGCATAGCGTTGAGCAATATGCTAAATATTTTTTAGACTTTTTTATTGATCCATTAGTATCATTAATCATTTACTGTTTCTTGAAGAACTTATTGAATAATTCTACTTCTATTCGTTCGCTAGGGCTCTATTCATTTCAGTTGCACTAAGTGTTCGATCAAAATTGACAAGTGAAACTAAGGAATCTAACTTTTAACATAAATCTGCTGATATCGGTCTCCCTTAAGATGAATTATCTTAATTTTAGTGCAGTTTTTGTTGAAAGAATCAATAAATTAATATTAAACTTAAAAATTCTTCCATATCGTCATTCATTATATTTTTCATATAGAAAAATTATTTTTATAGAGGAACATATAAGAACGTTAATAAATTAGTTACTGAAGAGCTTCCTGGAGCAGTATAAATATTTATTCAGGAAAATAATTAGATTTCTTTCACTAATTCACAAATAGGATATATGGGTTCAGGGATCGATTTTCATATTAAAGTGAAAATAGCTGTTTACTTATTTTGATCTTAATTTGCGTACAAGAAGAAGGGCTTCGACGGCATAAAGCGTGATAATAGGGAGGCTTTTATAGGCCTGAGGTTTTATTAGCTTCCCCTGACCCCCAGCAACCCCTGCTCTCTTATGTAAATAAAACGATTTACTTTTATGGTATCGCATCACATGTCTCCCTTGTTAAAAATGCTGCGTTCGCCGACTACGTGTGTTAACTTTTTGCTTATTTACATTTATTTTCTTTAGGAAGATTTATTTAGCCGCATTTAATGGCGAAATATATCTTTCATAAACACTTTCCCTTGGAAAGTTGTTTTTTTTTTTAAATTGTGTAGACGAACACTATATTTTTCATGTTCATGTTTTAATCATGACACCCTCGAATTAAATACTTTTAATATAACTTTAGCTATATAAACGTATTTCGTGTATAAAAAGCCATACTAAAAATATGCGTAAATTTAATATAATTTACTAACGATAATGTCATTGTTTCTCAGCATATCTTTATAAAGGGGTACAAATTGTAGTAATACTAGATGAGGGAGAGACAAGCCGGATTCTGAGATAATTTCGCACCCCCAGTAATTTCTTTACTTACATCATCTAAAAAAAGGTAGTAAAACTACATGTGTGAAGCATTGGCGAGTCTCTTTCAAATTTCAGTTCCTTCAATGTAATTTCTTCTATAAACAAAATAATACCATTTTGTATCAGATTGGAAGTACCCTTGTGTAGTTTTTTAAATGATATTTTAGAGGTTTATCGTATTTTGATAAAAAAATTAATAAATCTATATTATAATTTCTCCTATTTAATAAGTTTTCAGTTTCATGGCCTAGAAAAGCTAACTCATGTTCTCCTAGGAATGATGTCTAGGTATATGTAAATTTTTTAATAATTTCCTGAGTTTTGGTATCTACTTCTTTGTGTTTCTCATGAGACATACTGAGATAATCGTCTAGATCTAGAACATTTTAAATTCGTCTCCAAATGTTTTCTCTTTAATTGTAGCCTGAGTTTTATTAGCTGACACAAAATGTTTAAATCGGAAAATCCATTCCATTTCAACGGAAAATAATAGACCAATACTATGAAAGATTTTTTGTCGTAACCATTCACGTTTTTATATTTACCGGTTAGAAAATGTCTAAGGTAGAACTCAGTTTGTTTGGTTAAATTTAATAGTTTAGAAATTAGACTNCCCCACCCAGTAATTTCTTTACTATTACATCATCATCTAAAAAAAGTAGTAAAACTACATGTGTGAAGCATTGGCGAGTCTTGAGCTGTTAAAAATAAGTGTTCTCTTTCAAATTTCAGTTCCTTCAATGTAATTTCTTCTATAAACAAAATAATACCATTTTGTATCAGATTGGAAGTACCTTTGTGTAGTTTTATAAATGATATTTTAGAGGTTTATCGTATTTTGATAACAAATTTAATAAATCTATATTATAATTTCTCCTATTTAATAAGTTTTCAGTTTCATGGCCTAGAAAAGCTAACTCATGTTCTCCTAGGAATGATGTCTAGGTATATGTAAATTTTTTAATAATTTCCTGAGTTTTGGTATCTACTTCTTTGTGTTTCTCATGAGACATACTGAGATAATCGTCTAGATCTAGAACATTTTAAATTCGTCTCCAAATGTTTTCTCTTTAATTGTAGCCTGAGTTTTATTAGCTGACACAAAATGTTTAAATCGGAAAATCCATTCCATTTCAACGGAAAATAATAGACCAATACTATGAAAGATTTTTTGTCGTAACCATTCACGTTTTTATATTTACCGGTTAGAAAATGTTTAAGGTAGAACTCAGTTTGTTTGGTTAAATTTAATTGTTTGGAAGTTAGTCTACCTTTTAAATTTTTGATATGTAAAAATATACAGGGTGTTCCATTTAACTTAACAAAGTTAACATCCGCGGCCATTTCGTTTGGACTTCATTTGTTTTTCTACTATCATTTTAAAAAAATTCATAAAAAATCGTGCAACTTTTATATTTCA